GCTGCCTTCCCCCGCGGGAGGAGCGCGGCCGCTCGGGCGCCGGGAGGGTCGTGCGTCCTCCAGCCGGCACCGGGGCTCCCGCGGCTGCCCCTCGCCACCTGGCTCCCCATTGTACCGGGGGCGCTGCGCTGGGGTCTGAAGTAGGGGGCGGGACCCCGGGGGCTGCAGCGGGTGCCTAGGCTGAGGCCAGCGCTGCCGCCACCCTCCTGCCCGCGAGGTGGCTCGGGCGTGCTCGGGGCTGGTGTCCCCAGCCCAGCTGGCGGGCAGCGCAGGAGCGCCGGCGGGGGCGAGAGGGTTAAACGGAAGGGGGTGGAGGGGAGGACCTGGACCCCGCCTCTCTGCAGAGCATCCTCAGGGACGCCTCAGCCGGGTCGGGAAACCTGCGGGAGCCCGAGGGGACGGCCGGGCGCGGGCTGGTGGGAAGGGGCTAAGACCCTGATCGGGGTCTCCACGCTCTGCCTCTCGCGCCCCCCAGGAGACGGCCGGCGCGTCACCCCCGCGCTGCCCCGGGCTCACACACGCTCCGAGCCCGCCTGAATGACGGCCGCGCCGCCGGGAGCGCAGCATCCGCGCCGGCCAATCAGGCGCACGCAGGCCGGGAGCGGTGAGATCATCTCTAGCCAATGGCAGCGCGCCGAGCGCAGGGATGCTGCATTCGCACCCCCCAACTCTTAGGAGCCGGGGACCCCCAGTTTGGGGACGAGGTGGAGGCCACAAGCCCCCTAGGGGTGCCACCCTCCGGCGTGTGGAGGACCAAATGGATCCCTCCCAAACTCTGCGACCACTAGCGAGGGCTGGAAAGAGGAGCCCCGTGTGCCCGCTCCCCTTGGACCAGCTACTCAGGCCCAGAGACGGGGAGTGACTGGTTGAAGGTCACACAGTGGCAGAGTCTGGGGGCCAGCTTCGAAAGCACGCGGCGTCCTCTCCCTCTGTCCTCGTCTGTCCCACCAGCCCCAGCTGTGGAACTGGGGGAGTCCAGGTGGACACTGTCAGGAGGGCCCTGAAAAGCTGGGTGTTGGCTCCCCTTCACCCTGCATCTCCTGCCTTTCCTTCTGCAGGCCTAGCATCCGGTGTGGTACAATAAGGGAGGCCTAGGCCTGCGTGAGTGCTTGAGCTTGAGAGGGGAGGGGCCAGGGACCCCCAAGAACAGGGACCCTTGGAGAGGTTCGAGGAGGCATCTCAGTTCAGCCCAAGGCCTCTCTGCCCCTCCCTGGGGACCAGCTCCTGCTGGGCACCTGTGCAAGCCACCCACGCCACCGTCTGTCCCCAGAGCCCTGCAGGCTCCTCATGTTTTCACCGGGGCACCGCCAAACTGCTCCCATCAGCCTGGCCACTGCAACAGTGTCCCCTCGTCCCCCCAGGAGCTAAACCTGGAGCGTGGCCACTTCCCACACCTCATTAACAGCCATCGAAATGCCCCTTCCTCTCCCTCTGCCCGCTCTGCCACTGCCCATGGTGCCAGGCACGCTCCACAGCCTTCGAACCTGCCCCAGACCTGGGCCATTCTGCTGTGCCTCTACTTTGGCTTCCAGGTGACTCAGCCTCCCAGAGCAGCCTTGAAGCCCGGCCGCTCCTGCCTTTGCCACCCACAGCCTCAGCCCTTGGCTCTGCCCAAGAGGCTCCCATTTTACCACTACGGTCCCTGCCACCCGCCCACCCGCACCGCTTTCCAGGGCCCTGGGCCTCGGGCAACACCACCTTCTCTGGGAAGGCACCGACCCCGCTGCCATAGGGTGGGGGGCTCCAAGTGCACCTCGGAGCATTCAGAAGACCCAGCACTGATTGTGGGCACCTGGATGGGCACCCCCGGGGCAGAGGACTGTCCTGGCCACCTTAGGGCCTCAGCAGCCACACAGTACCGAGTGAAAGCGTGGGGTCGGAGGTCCTAGCCACCCCTGAGCTGGGGATGAAGGTGTTGGTCAGGGAGCGCCTGGCGCTGTGGGAGCAGAGGGCCAGGAGGGGATCTGAGGGCCTGGGGAGCTCTGGGGGGCTGAGGAGTTGGGGGGCACAGGACCGTGGTGCTCTGGGGAGCAGGGGCTGGGGGGCGAGGCTCCCCTGTGCTGCTTCTCTGCTGGACCAGCTCTGGGGTCTGCGTGTCCCGGAGCCACCACCTTAGGGGGCTGGGGTCACGGGAAGGCAGGAACGTTCCATGTCCTCGCGGTGACAAGATGCCTGTGGGGACACAGGATGTCTGTGAGGACAGCTGCCGTGCTCTGCAGTGCCATCCTCCCACCCTGGCCAGCCAGTGAGGCAGGCTCTGTCCCTGTACCCATCCTACTGAGGAGGAAGTGGAGGCCCAGCAGTGCTCAAGGCCCAGAGGGCTGCGCTGGGCTGGGCTCCATGGTGGAGTGTCCCTGACAGCAGGGGCTCCCTTCCTCCTGGCCTCAGGGGTCCTGGGGTTGGATGACCTCTGATGCCTGACCTCTGGGAACCTGGAGAGTCCTTGGACAGGTGGAAAGGTAGTACCCTGCGGGTTATCTTGGGCTTGGGCTTCCTTGCTGGGCTGCAGTTTCCCCATCTGGCAAGGGTTACTTTCGAGGCAAGGAGGAGGTGCCTTGAGAACTGCAGTTAAGATGTCCCCAGGGTCCCCTGTCCTTGTGGGTAGCTGCTTCCCCATCCTCCTCTGTGCAATTAATTCACCATCCCAGAATGTGTCCCTGTCCATCCCGCTGTGTGCTGGTCTTTGTCTTGGCCTGCGGTACCTGCCACCTCCCCTCCCACATACGCCTGTGAAAACCCTCTCTCCCCGAGCTCAAGATCAGTTTGGTGTCCCTAGTGTCTGAGGCCAGCTGGCCATCTCCTCCGGGAAGCCCTCCCAGCCCTCTCCCCGCTGCCCGGATGGAGTGGCCCTGCGAAGAGCCACCCGGCTCTCTGCCGCTGTCCAGCGCCGTGGTGCTGACCGCAGGCGGCTCACAGGCCGCGTGTGCCTGGCCTCTTCCGCAAGCGCTTCCTTGTGGACACAGCCTGCTTTATTTATCATGGCGTCCTGCACCTAGTGCAGGACGAGGAATGCGGCGGGCATGGTTTAGCGGCATTAAAAGAGATTGCCTTGCCCCAGCCGGGTCCGGCACCCGTGAGTGACGCCCCAACATCCCAGGAGGGGAGGGGTCCACAGGCGAGCAGAGTTTGGGAGGGAAGGAAGAGCAGCTCCGAGCTAGGGGCCAACTCTTATCTCTCCACCCAGTTCTCCAAGGAGAAGTACATCCTGGACGCCTCGCCGGAGAAACTGCACAAGGAGCTGGAGGAAGAGCTGAAACTCAGCAGCACGGACCTCCGCAGCCACGCCTGGTACCACGGCCGCATCCCCCGCGAGGTGAGCCTGCCCACCGCCCGCGCCGAGGCTCCCCGGGCCCTGGCTCCAGCCAGCAGAGGGGCTCTGATGGTGGCCGGGGAGGCCCAGTCTGAGTGGGCTGGGCTGCCTTTCTCACACTGAGCCTCAGTGTCCAGGCTGGGAAGTGGAGGAGCCTCGGCACCTACCTCAGGGCGGTGGGGAGATGAAGCGAAGGAAGGCGGGAGGGGCTGGAGATTTACCTCAGTGGCACAGAGGTTGCCTGGCAAGTGCAAGGTGGTGAGTTCGATTCCTGGTACCAGAAGAAAAACAAACAAACAAACAAACAAAAAGAAGCCGGGAAAGCGCTTCGCCCCTTGTCTGGCTCGCGTGCGCTGGGTGAACGCGGGCTGTGCTGTTACTACTTCCACCGACACCGGCCTGCCCCCGCTCCGCCCTCTCACACCGCAGCTCTGGGCCAGGACCAAGCCTCTGGCTCGGTATCTGGGTTGTTGTGTCCCTGGTCCCAGGCTTAGATGGCAGATGCCTGTGTCCACTGCTCCCCCATCCTGGGTCTGGTTGGGGTGTGCCCTGCTGCTCCTGAGTTCCCCTGCCCCTGACCCTGGGTCTGGGTCTCTTCCGTCCCCACCATGCCCGTCCGCACCTCCTGCAGGTCTCAGAGACCCTGGTGCAGCGCAACGGCGACTTCCTCATCCGGGACTCGCTCACCAGCCTGGGCGACTACGTGCTCACATGCCGCTGGCGCAACCAGGCCTTGCACTTCAAGATCAACAAGGTGGTGGTGAAGGCGGGCGAGAGCTACACCCACATCCAGTACCTGTTCGAGCAGGAGAGCTTCGACCACGTGCCTGCCCTGGTGCGCTACCACGTGGGCAGCCGCAAGGCCGTGTCGGAGCAGAGCGGCGCCATCATCTATTGTCCGGTCAACCGCACCTTCCCGCTGCGCTACCTCGAGGCCAGCTACGGCCTGGGCCCGGCAGGCGGCAAGGCCTCCAGCCCCGCCAGCCCCTCGGGGGCCAAGGGCAGCCACATGAAGCGACGCAGTGTCACCATGACAGATGGGCTCACCGCCGACAAGGTCACCCGCAGCAGCGACAGCTGCCCCACCAGGTCAGCTGGGACCCCGTATGTGGCCTTGCGGTGCAGTGGGCATGTCTGTGATGAGCGTGCTGGGGGAGGGACCCCAGCCCACGGAGCTGGTCACTCTCCGTGACACTCAGTGTCAGGGGGCAGGAGAGCCTTAGGCTGGCTGTTCGGAGGTTGGGGACAGGCGTGGGACTTGCTGGCTGGGTGTCCTTGGCCGTCCCTCCCCATCCTTCACCTCCACGGGTCCCTCCTCACTCCGACAAGGTCACCCGCAGAAGAAGCCGGGAAAGCGCTTCGCCCCGCAGTGGTGACCCGCAGTGGTCCTGCATTGCAGAGGGGGCCCCGAGTGCTGGCCTCAGCCAAGGGCCTGGTCTCGGTGCCCCTCACCAAGGCGTGCACGTCACCAGACCACCACACACCTCAGTGGACAGCAGCCATTGCTTAGGGACCGGACAGTTCTCAGTGACATTGTAATGACACCTGTTGGCCCTGGACTGGGCAAGACCTGGCATGGTTCCTGAGGCCCACAGTGCCTGCTGAGTGCCATCCAGGCCCACTCTGGTCAGTTCCTACCCCAGTCCTGCGGGCTGTAACCCATTCATGGAGGAAGAAATGGGCTTGAGGGGGAAGCCGATTGCTAGCCAGTGGTAGGGTCAAGATTTGAATCCAGCTGTGCGGACTCCGGTCTAACTTCCCTAATCTCTGAGGCTGTGCACAGAGGTCACTGTCTGTTGCCACCAGCATCTGGATGGGCCTTTGCCACCCCCTCCCTGGGCCTGGTCGGATGCTGTCAGCAAGGAAGTAACGATGGACACCTGCGGGCAGCAGCCACTTGGCCTGTGCTTTGCAGCCAGTGATTGTGTAGTGCCGGGATCCATGGCACACATGTGCCTGAGGCAGGCAGAGGGTAGGAGAGGCCAAGAGGGACCAGGTTGACTGCCCTGGATTTCCCAGTGTCCCCTCCCTTCCTGCTAGCCCTTTCCCCAGACAGTTCTCCAAGGTTCCTCTGGGCAAGGTTCCCCTGGGCAAGGTTCCCAGGGAAGGAAGAGCTGTGCAGGTTGTGGACTGCACAAGCCCTCCTGTTGTACCCATCCCAAGGACAGTGGAGTGGGGCTGACGTCCATCCTGCCCTCTGCTTATTATGTTGGGGGAGGCAGTGTGGCGCTGTCTCTACCCTGAGAATGTGTCCAGTTGTGAACTCGCACAAGGGCGACTTGTTGGGTAGCAGAGTTCTAGTCTGTCTGTCCCTTCCCATCCTTCTGGGGACAGGAGAGACATCGAGGGGACCAGGAAGCCTTGGCTTGGTGGGTGTCCCCAAGCCTGGTGCTCACAGGCTGGTCTCAGGTGTGTCGGGGTGCCGGGTCAGGGCTGAGAGAGCAGGACGATAGGTGACACTGATTCCAGGTGACCCGCTGTGCTGAGGCCCAGCCCTTCCTGGCGGCGTCTGCTCTTGCTCTGTCTGCTGAGAGATGGAACTCAGGAATCTCCAGGCCTTTTCTGCCTGTGAAGTTCATAGGCACAGGTGGGGGGGGGGGTTGTCCCATGGACAGGCTGAAGCCCCAAACCCTGGGCTGCAGCTCACAAAAACATCTGCCCACAGCACGTCCCTGCCGCAGCCCCGGGACTCCATCCGCAACTGCACCCTCAGCATGGACCGGATTCCGGACCTGCACTCGCCCCTGCCCCCCATCTCCGAGAGCCCCAGCTCCCCCGCCTACAGCACAGGTACAGTGGAGGTGGGAGGGGCTCCGTCCTGGGTGGCCTCTGTTACCTGTGCGTCTGGATGGGTGTTTCTGCCTCTTTTCTGAGAGCAGCAGCCTGCAAGAATTTACTCAGAAAAACTGGACATGGTGGGGCTCACCTGTGGTCCCAGCATTTGGGAGGCTGAGGCAGGAGGATTGCTGTTGAGTTGGAGGCAGCCTGGGTGAAGGCCAGCCTGAACTATACATGAGGCTTGAGTCTCCGTGCTGTGACAGGCGCTTACTCCGCAAGGCTCTGCTCCACCGGCTGAGTCCCCCTGGCTTTGGCATGACTTAGTGTATCCATCTCTGGTTTAAACCTGGCTCCAAACAAGCTAGCCATGCTTTTATTTTTTTAATAGTTGTTTTTTTTCTTTTTTTTTTTTTTTTAGAGCAGTTTTAAAGGTTCACAGCAAAGGGACTCGGGATCTAGCTCAAGTACCTGCCTGGCAAATACAAGGTCCTGAGTTGGATTCCCCACCCCCGCAAAAAAAAAAGTTCACAGCACAGTTAAAATTGAAAAGTACAAGGGGCTGGGGATCTAGCTCAGTGGCACAGTGCCTGCCTGACAAGTGCAAGATCCTAAGTTCAATTCCCCGTACCCCCGCAAAAAAAAACATTGCAAAGTACAGAGTACTGTTTTGTTTTTTGTTTTTTTTTTTGGTTTTTCTCCGGTACCGGGAACCGAACCCACGACCTTGCGCTTGCCAGGCAGGCGCTTTGCCGCTGAGCTAAATCCCCAGCCCC